TCAACCCAATTTTTTTTTTTTCAATTTTTCAAAGCCAGGCATTAATAATTTTACCCTTTCTGACCCCCCACAATTTGGACATGATTTCAAAGCGTGAATATCCCATCTTGAATTATACAATTTGCGTAACAATTTAAACTTTTCATGTCTGGGAGGAAAAATTAATTTTTAATTATAAATTATTTTTTTGGGTTTTTTTTTTGGAATTTTTTTTGGCCTTTCCTTTTTTTTTTCTTTCTTTTGCTTTTTGTTTTTCTTTCTTTTCCCCTTTTCCCTTTTTTTTCCCCTTTCTTTTTCTTTCTGTCCTTTTTTTTTCCTCTTTTTTTTTTTTTTTTCTTTTTTCCTCTCCCCCTTCTTTTTTTTGTTCTCTTTTCCCCTTCTTTTATCCTTCCCCCCCTCCTCTTTCTCCTCCCCTGTTTACCTCCTCCCCTTTTTCTCTTTCTTTCTCTTTTTTTTTCTTCTTCTCTTTCTTCTTTTTTTTCTCTTCCGTCCTTTTTTCTTTCCCCTTCCCTTTTTTTCTCCTTTTTATTTTTTTTCCTCTTTTCCTTTTTTTTCTTTTTCCTTTTTTTTCCTTTCTCCTCTCCTTTCCCCTCTTTTTTTTCCTTTTATTCTATTCCTTTTCCTCTTTTTTTCTTTCTTTCTCTCGTTTCTTTTCCCTTCCCCTCCCTCTTTTTGTTCTTCCCCTTTTCCTTCTTTTTCCCTCTTCTTTTCCTTTTCTTTCCCCCTCTCCCCTTCTCCTTCTCCCTCCTTTTTTTCTTCTCTCCCTCCTCTCCCTTTTTTTTTCCCTTCTCCCCTTCTTTCTTCTTTTCTTTCCTTTGTCTCCCCCCCCCTAAATAAAACACCTTTTTCCCCCCTCCCTTTTTTTTTTTCCTTTTTTTCCCCCCTTCCATGGGCTGAATATTTAAAAAAAAAACAAATTACAAAAAATAACTCATTATGTTCTTTTTTCTCTTTCGATGGGCGATTTCTTATCTCATCTCGTCGGGGTTTTTCTCCTTCTGGGTTCCCCACCTGGGATTGGGGCCCTTTGTTTCCCTTTTTGATACCCTTTTTCTTGGTTATGTGCGTCCGTTTGACTTCTTTTTTTTTTCTTCTCTTCCTTTTTTTTTTTTTCTCTTTTTCTCTTTTGTGCTCTTCAAAATTGTTTTTTTTTGTAAAAAAGGCGTGCTGGCAGTGGGATGGGTCGAATATACTCGGGGGCGTCGCGTTTCGGTGGCGGTACTGCAGGGTGGAGGGGAGCGGGGGGCTGGGGCGAAAAAGGTGGCGGTGCCGTCTCTCTCGAGTCTGACTTTTGTGCGTGCGAATTTCGATACGTGAGCTGGTGCTATCTGCGTTACTGGGGGTTGCGGGGGGATGGGGGGGGCAAAGTGAACAGCGGAAGTGGAACGGGACAGGGAAAGGAAGGGCAAGGAAACAACAGTACGTGGCGATACATCGTGTTCGTTCGTACTGATTTCTCTCTTCCGTGCATATGCATCTTACTAAAAAATATTATCTTAATACATCATATCTTCTTCTCATTTCTCTTTTCCTCTACACTCGTTCCCTCTCTTGTGTCTCTCTCTTATCTCCACTTCTCTCTTACTCTCTCTCTACATCCATTCATCTCTCTCTCTCCTCTCCTCTCCTCTCTCTCTCGTACCTCATCTTCATCTCTTACTCTTTCTCTTCTCCATTCTCATCTCTCTTCTCTCTCATCTCTATTTCTTATCCCCCCATCTTCTCTCTCTTCTCCACTTCTTCTCCTCTCTCCATTCTTTTTCTCTTCTTCTCATCTCTAACTCTCTACTCTTACACTCTCTCTTTTTCTCCTTTCCTCATCTCTCTCCTCATATCTCTCTCTCTCATCATCTTCTACCTCTCTCTTCTTCTCCTTTTCCCTCCTCTCTCACATCTCTCTTCTCTCTCTTTCTCCTCTCTCTTCTTCTTCTCTCTCCCCTTCTATCCCTCTCTCTCTCATCTCTCTTCTCGCTCTATCCCCTCTCTACTCTCCTCATCTTCTCATCTCCCTCTCTCTATCTCTCCCCTCCTCTTCTCTCTCTCTCTCTCCCACCATCTCTCTCACATACTATGCAACACTGTATATATCTCATCCTCATCTACTCTCTCAAAAAAAATTTTATTCTTGAGTTGCGTCTGCTTGCTCACTTCGTAATTTATTAATCTTTTTATTGCGTGTCTGCTGGCGGTGCTGTTTTTTCCTCTCCCTCAACGTCTCCCTTTTTGCGCGTCTGCTCGGTCCCTCTCTCTTCCTCTTTCGTTTTTTCTCTCTTCTCTTCTTTCCTTTCCCTTTTCCTCTATGTCGGCAATCCACCTCCATTGTTTCTACTTCTTCGGTTTCTTTTTACGCGTCGTAAACTTTCTTTTCTTTTTTCTCTTGACCTCCGCGCGACGCTACCCTCTTATACACGTCTTGCTCTATCCATCCAATCCAGTCCATCTTTGCGAGCTACCTACCTCTACTTTGTCCTGAATCCCCCCTCCCCCACCCTCTTCCTTCTTCTCTATCGCAGTTCCATGCCGAGTCGATGCTATCTCTACCGTATCTAGCGTCATCCCTCATCGTCTCCCTGGTCCCTCTCTCATCGCCGATCCAGATCCATCTATCATACCTATCATCTCGCCCCTCTCTCTCTCTCTTCTCTCCCTTCCCTCGTTGCGGGTCCACCCTATTCCACCCTACCCATCGATCTCTTCTACCTGTTACCTCCCCCCCCCCCTCCCCCCGTTGCCTGAACAAACGAACGACTTTCCAGACCAATATTTGTTTTCTCTCGGATTCTCGCTCTCCTTGGGTCTTCCTGATGCCTCATAACCTGAAGTGGGCGCCTCCGAACCCCGCTAATCGAGTATTGTGTGTGTACACGACGGAGCGAAAACAGGGTAACATATTAAGCATCGACACGATAATAATACATACACACATACAGTGTAAGGGTCTATGTGGGTTGAGTGTTATGTTGTACATATATATGGAGTGGTGTGAGGTGTGGGAGGGTGAAAAGGTGTGTTGTGTGTGTGGGTGTGTGTGTGTGTGTGTGTGTGTGTGTGTGTGTGTGTGGTCGTGGTGTCTGTGTGTGTGTGTGCGTGGTGGTGTGTGAGTGATTGTGATAACATATATGTATCCGGAAATAAGTACGGAAAGTAGTGAGAGGTAGTGGAGAAGGGAAAGGAAGAAAAAAATAAATAAATATATAAGGGGGTATAAATATATAAAGTGATATATAATATTATATATATGTAATATATATAAGTTAGGGCAATTGATCTTATATATATTATTTAGGATATATAAAAAATATAAATAATATATACATTATTTTATTATTTGTATAAATACATTTACTTGTCCCTCTTTGGGGTCTTCTCTTATACACTCTTACTATTATCCATATTGTCTCTCTATCTTTTCTCTATATTTACTTACTTATATTTCATTACTTCTCTTTCCTACTCCTATCTTTCTATCATCCCTCATTCTTCCTTATTTCTCTATTTCTCCTTTATTCTCTTTCTTCTCTTCTCTCCTTTCTATTTCTCCTATTTTATACTATTTCTACTCTTATCCTTTCATATTTTATACTCTATACTACTCTATTTATATAATCACGTTATATCTTTTTACTATATATTATGTTTTACCCTCGCTTATCCTCCTCTTTACATACATGCACACACACATCACCACACCACTATCTCACACACAACACACACCATTTACCTACCTCACTCCTATTATTTTCTTTTTTATTCTATCACCCTTATTTTTTTTTTTTTTCAAGGGTATAATATATTATTATTTTAGGAAATATAAATAAAATAAATAAAAATAATTTTTCTTTTGGATTGAGCGTAGTATATTTTTAAATAAAATAAATAGGAGTGTATTGTTTTTATTTTCTTGGTTTTTCCCAAAATAACCCTCAGAAAATTGCTTTTTGTTCCTTGGGGGGGATAAATATAATCACTACTCTCGCAGACCTTAGACTTAGTTCTTAGAAATATGAGAAGTACAGAGATCTATGAGGGGATGTATACGATACTATACGGGACAGATTACTATAAATGGTGTGTTTTGTATTTATATGAGATATTTGAATTTTTACGCACAGCATTCTCACAACAAATAAAAAAAGCGGACGAGATGGTCGTGAACATGCGGTGAAGCCCAATAAAAAGGCAAAAACCACGGGGGGTGCGTCTTGCCGTTAATGACGTCAGAAAAGACGGAGTGCGCAAGGACGCACAGCGTATATGCATCTGGCGCGAGGGGTGGTAAGACAGAGACAACCACTGCAGGCGGTCTCATTAGCGCTCGTCGGTGAGTCAAGGCTGAACAGGAAAAGATAGGTGGAAGGAAACAGTAGAAAAGTAAGATTTTAGTGAATTTCGAGGCGAGGGAATCTACCTCAGGCCATTGACTTATTTGTGTTAATTCAAGGAGCTAAAAGAAATATAGGATTTTTAGGACAAGGTAATTTAAAAAATACATAGTGTGAGGGGGGTACAAAAACGAGAGTTATGATATAAAAAAGAACCGGTGCTTTTCACGATGGGATTTTCGATGAATTGATTTTTAATAAAGAGTGAAAACTAGATTTATAATAGGAAAATACTACTATCTTGTTATTATATGTTTAATATAAGTATCTTAATCAATTAACATCCGACGAATAAATAAAGAGCACTTGTTATATATATACAATAAATAGTGGCCAAAGCAAGAGGAGATGGCGTCTTCGATTTTTTATTACAATGATAATTAACTATTATTTTTCACTAGTATTGTAATAAAATGAATCTATTAATTAATTTTATTTATCACTTTAAATTATGTATTTAATTGCTCCGTGCAAATAGACTAAAAACTACTTTTTCTCTAGATTTATTAAATATCATTTTTTACTACTGCAGAGAAACTAAGAATAATAAAGTCATGTTATATTAAAGAAGAAATATTCTTTCAATTTTTATTAATATTCTCTTATTCTGTTCTATAGGTTCATATATGTTTAGCCCTGGAGTTTGTTCCTACAATTGAGTGTGACGTCATAAAAAACTTAAGTTAAGGTGTGTTCAATTAACTGTCTTTTATGATACCAATGCATTAGTATAGGATTTTTTGAATTAATACTTTTTTGATTTATGAACTTTCCAACCAAGAAGGATATAGAACTGGCCCGAGTATGTGAACCGAGTGGTAGAAAAAAACGGAAATTCGAAATGCGAGCGAATTTTCCGAAATTTTAAAAAGGAGAATCTTGAAAATATAACTAGGGGTTCGTAAGAAAGATGTGCGGCGGGACTACCACAAACACACACACAACACACACACACACAGCACACAAACACACAAGCACAGCGACACACACACAAACACCACACACACACACACACACACCAACCCCCCTCCCCCCCAACCCCCACCACCCAACCCAACCTAAACAAAAGAACAACCCCCCCAAACCACCTCCCACCCTCCCCACCCCAACCCCCAACTCCCAAAACCCAACCTAACGAAGAGGAACGCCCCCCCTACACCCCCAACCCCCACCTCTTCACCCAACCCCCGCAACCCCACCCATCTCCCCCAAACCCAAACCCAACTCAAAAAAGAAACAACGCCCCCCCACCCCCACCCCCACCCCACCACCCCCACCCCCTCCCCCCTACAGCGTCCGCCATAACAGATCGGCCAAAGTCAAACGCAGCGAGGGGAATCCATCTCAGCCCGGAATTATGTGTCTCCAAGATTGCCTCCAACTCACCTGCTTGTGGCTCCCTCGGGACTGAAGAAATTCCCCGCTGTTTTGGTGACGAGGCGGAGGACTAAGGGGGGGCGATGGCGGAGACTAGAGGGGAAGGAGAGGTGGAGGGACGAAGGCGGAGACTAGGGAGGAAGGGAGAGGGTGGGGGGGCGAGGCGGAGGGACTGGAGGGGTGAGGGAGCCGGTGGGGGGGGACGAGGCGGAGGACTAGGGGGGAAGGGAGGGATGGGGACGAGCGGAGGACTGGAGGGGGTGAGGGAGGGGTGGGCGGGTGGGGGACGAGCGGAGACTAGGGGGGGGGGAAGGGAGGGGGTGGTAGGTGGGGGACGAGACGGAGGACTGGAGGGGGGGGGGTAAGGGTGGGGGGGGGGGGACGAGGCGGAGGACTAGGGGGAAGGGAGGGAAGGGGTAGGGGGACGAGGCGAGGGACTGGAGGCGTCAGGTGGGGTGGGGAGGCGGGGGACTGGGGTGGGAGGAGGAGGGTGGGGGGAGAGGCGGAGCGAGGGGGAGGGGGTGGGTGGGGGACGAGCGGAGGATGGAGGGGGTGAGGTGGGAGTACGGGGGTGCGGGGTGGGGGAGGTGGGGGGAGAGCCAAAAAGGTACAATTGGTGTGACGGAACGAGGAGGAGGAAGAGGAGAAGGGGGGAGGGGTGGTGTCTTCATTTTCTTGGGTTTTGTTTCTTTTTCCTTCTTTTTCTTTCTCTTTTTATTGTGTTTTTTGAAAGAGGAGGTGGGGGGGGGGTGCTTGTCTTCATTTTCTTGGGTTTTCTTGGTTTTGTCTTTTCTTTCTTTTTTTGTTTTGTTTTTGAAGGAGGAGGGGGGCTTATCTTCATTTTCTTGGTTTCTTGTTTGTCTTTTTCTTTCTTTTCTTTCTATTTTTTTGTTTTTGAAGGGGAGGGGGCTGTCTTTCATTTTCTTGGTTTTTCTTGGTTTTGTCTTTTCTTTCTTTTTCTTTCCGTTTTTTTTTTTTAGAGGAGGGGCTTTGTCTTCATTTTCTTGGTTTTTCTTGGTTTTGTGTTTTCTTTCTTTCTTTTTTGTTTTTGTTTTTGAAGGAGGAGGGGGGCTTGGCTTAATTTTCTTAGTTTTGTCTGTTTTCCATCTTTTCCTTTCTCTTTTTTCAAGGGGGAGGGGATGGAGCAGGGGGGTGTTGCCTTCATTTTCTTGGGTTTTCTTGGTTTTGAGTTTTTTCCTTCCTTTTTTCTTTTCTTTTTTTCGGGGGGAGGAGGGGTGTTGATTTTAATTTCTTGTTTTTCTTGGTTGTGTCTTTGTTTCCGTTCTTTTATTTTAGGGGGAGGGGGAAGGGGTGTCTTATCTTAATTTTCTTGTTTTTTTGTTGTTGTTTTTGCTTTTGTTTTTTGAAGGGAGGAGGAGGAAAGAAAAGGGTGGAGGAGGTCTGTCTTGTCTCCATTTTCTTGGTTTTTCCTTCTTTATCTTTCTTTCTTTTTTAGGGGGGGCGAGGAAGATGTCTTGTCTTCATTTACTTGATTTTCTTCTTTTTTTTGGGGGGGGTTCTTGTCTTGATTTTTTTTGTTTTGTTTTGTTTTAAATTTAATTTTTTGAGGGTGTGGAGGAGGGTTGTCTTGTCATTTTCTTGATTTTCTTGTGATTTTTTTTCTTAATTTTGTCAGGTTTTCTTGGTTTTGTTTTCCATCTTTTTCTTTCTTTGTTGTTATTGTTTTTTTTTTTGTTTTTTTGAAGGGGGGGGTGAGGAGGGTTTTTTGTCTTTCATTTCTTGTTTTTCTTGGTTTTGAGTTTTTACCTTTCTTTATTTATTTATTTTGGAGGGGGGGGGGGGAAAGTAGGAGGAAAAGGGAGATAAATTTTTTTTCTCTTTTCTTCTTTCTTGGTTTTGCTTCTTGATTTTTCTTTCAAAAAAAAGGGTGTGTGTGGCCGAACTTTGAGGGTGGTGAAGCGCGATGCTTCGAGGGGCGTGGCCAAAGGAAGGAGCTAAGAATCAGGAAGCAAAAAAAGGAGAAAAAAGGAGAAGGAATGAGAGACCGGGGTTAGGGAGGGAGGAGGAGGGAGGAGAGGTAGGGGGTGGGGGGGCGGAGTCAATACATCCGGGAATTCGCATCCGCGGGAGCCTGAGTTGCCATGTCGGGAATTACGGAGATGGCGACGAGAGAGGAACGGGGGAAATAAAGAAATGAAAGTCAACAAGGAAGCTTTTTGATAAATCTCGATCTTATGTGTTTGTTTATATGATTACATCCCGGACCTCGAGAGCCATTCGGAGCCGGGAATTGCCGCTGTGGCTCCGTTTTTCTTCCTTGATTTTCTTGTTGTTTTGTGTTTGTTGTTGTTGTTGTTGTTTTTTCTCTCTTTTTGATTCTCTCTGTCTCGCTCTTTCTTTTTTATTTTCTCTATTTCTTTATCTCTCTCTCTCTCTCTCTTTTTTAATCCCTCTGTCTCTCTCTTCTCTGCTCTCTTTCCTCTCCTTTCTTTCATTCATCTCTCTCTCCTCTCTCTATCTTTCTTTCATCTCTCTCTCTCTCTCTCTCTCTCTCTCTCTCTCTCTCTCTCTCTCTCTCTCTCTCTCTCTCTCTCTCCTCTCCTCTCTCTCTTCTCTCTCTCTCTCCTCTCTCTCTTCCTTTTCTCATGTTCGCCCTCGTCTTGTTTTCCTATTTTCTTTGTCTTTTTCTTATATTTCTTCTTTCTCTTTTTCTCTTGTTCGTCCTCATTTTGGTTTTTATTCATTTTTTCTTCCTTTGTGTTTTTTTCTTCCTCATGTTCTTCGTCTTTTTGTTTTTACAAGAAAAGAGAATTCCAATTTTTTTCTTTTCTTTTTTTCTTTTTTTCCGTTTCTCTTGTTTTACACTTTTTTTTCTCTCTTTCTCTTATTCCTATTTCTTTACCTTTCATATTTTTTCCCCTTTTTCTTGACTTTTCTTTTACTTTGTTTCTGTCTTATTAATCTGTTATTTCTCTAATTCTTGTTCTTCCTTTTCTCTCTCTCTCTCTCTCTCTCTCTCTTTTGTTTTCATAATATTTTTTAGTCGTTTTTATTTGTTAGTTTATTTTTTCTCATTTCTTTTCATTTTTTTTCTCTCATTAATTTTCTATTTGTTGTGTTTCTTATTTTATTTCTATTTCTTATTTCTTATTCCATTTCCTACTTTTTCATTTATTGTATTCGTTTTTCATTTTCTATTTTCTATATTCCGTTTTGTTAAATTTTTTTCTAAAAAGGTTTTTATCTGTAATTCATATCTTTTTCATTTTTTTTTTTTCAGTGAGAAATGAGATCAGATCGGAATTTTTGTGGTTTTTGTGGTAATTGAAAAATAAATTGAATATTGATGGATTTAGATTAATCGATTTAAGCGCAAAAGATTAAAAGATTTAACTTGTGAAATCCTTTAATGTTTCGTCTTATTATGATTCTGTTAGTCGACTTTGTTTTTTTCTGTTCAGTTATGTCTCTTTCTCTCTTTCTCGTTCTCTTCTCTCTCTCTCTGCTCAGTCCTGTTTGTCTTCCTGTTTATCTCCTCCTTCCGTCTCTCTTTATCAGTCTATTTGTCTCTCTGTTCGTCTCTCTCTCTCTCTCTCTCTCTCTCTCTCTCTCTCTCTCTCTCTCTCTCTCGTCTCTTCTCTCTCTCTCTCTCTCTCTCTCTCTCTCTCTCTCCTCTCTCTCTCTTCTCTCTTCTCCTCTCTCTCTCATACTCTTCATCTCTGTCACATTTATATATGTCAGTAGAAAACGCTCGAAAATGCAAAAAATAAAAAATAAAAAATAATAATTATAAAGAAAAAGAAAGAAAGAAAAAATCAAAACATTAAAAATTAAAAAGGGACAACCAGACCTTAGAACGATTGAGTGAAGTTGTCCGGTTGATTCTGGTATTTCTGGCCAGGTGGTATCTCTCGGCAGGTGGACCTCAGGTGTGTGCTCATGCATACCTGGGCAGAGGGACACAATCCTTAATAATTTCTTTTTTTTTCTTTTTTCTTTTTTCTTTTTCTTTCGCTAAGGATTTTTTTTTATGTTTTTTTTCTCTCTCTTCCGCCATTTTAGCATGTATTTAGATTAAAGAAATACTATAAAGTTTATTATACTATGTGGATTTGAAGGAATTTGAAATATTTGAAATTCACACACACATACACATACAGACACACACAACACACACACACACACACACACACACACACACACACACACACACACACACACACACACACACACACACACACACACACACACACACACACACACACAGGTTGATAAATATATAGATATTTGCACACACATGTCTCTATAAACGAAATTTATTAATCATGAATATAGAATCCAAAAATACG